AATGGGGTCTGGTGCCCTCTTCTGGCCTGCAGTCATACACACAGACAGAATATTGTATACATAATAATAAAAAAAATTTAAAAAAGAAAAAAATACATTTAAAAAAAGATTTATTTTTAGTTAGTTTTTTTTTTTTGAGAAAGTATTTCTCTGTGTAGCAAGATTTATTTATTTGTTTGTTTTCTGAGACAGGGTTTCTCTGTAGCTTTGGAACCTGTCCTGGAACTAGCTCTTGTAGACCAGGCTGGTCTCGAACTCACAGAGCCCTGCCTGCCTCTGCCTCCCGAGTGCTGGGATTAAAGGCGTGTGCCACCATCGCCTGGCTCAAGATTTATTTTTTAAGTAATGTGTGTGTGTGCATGTGAAGGCTAGAAAGAGGCACTGGAGATCCCCTAGAGCTGGAGGTTCTAGGTGATTGTGAGCAGCCAGATGTGGGTGCTTGGAAATAAATTTCTGTTCTCAGGAAGAGTTGCAAGTGCTCTTCACCATTGAGTCATCTCTTTGGCCCCTGAACTGACCAATTCTGTATCGAAAGTCGGTAAGAGCCGGGCGGTGGTGGCGCATGCCTTTAATCCCAGCACTCGGGAGGCAGAGGCAGGCGGATCTCTGTGAGTTCGAGACCAGCCTGGTCTACAAGAGCTAGTTCCAGGACAGGCTCCAAAGCCACAGAGAAACCCTGTCTCGAAAAACCAAAAAAAAAAAAAAAAAAAAAAAAAAAAAAAAGAAAGTCGGTAAGCTTTCACTAAGGTAGGGTAGGATTTCAGGACAAACTGTGTGTTTGAGCTGTAGTATGAGAAGTGGGTATAAGAATAATGATGAGGCTAGGGTTCAGTCAACATTTACCCAGCATGTGTGAAGGTCTGTGCTTGTGAACACTGGAGAGAGAAATTAGCAGAAAACAAGGGAGGGGACTTGTAGAAGACCTAGGTTTGGTTCCCAGCACCCACATGGTGACCCATAACTATCTGGAACTCCAATTCTAGGGAATCCGATATCCTCTTCTGACCTCCATGGGCACCAGATATGCATATGCTGTCCAGACATACATGCAGGCAAAATACTGACATACATGAAATTAAATAAACCGAAAACAGCAGAAAGAAAACAAAAACGACAGCATGAGAATCTGGAGGTCATGTGACCTACAGGTGGCCTTTAAAGATAGCGGACCTTAGATACATACCAATTGGCTAGAGACTGGGCGGCAGGTGCCAATTTGTCTGATAAGTAGATGGTCAGAACGTGTTGATTTCACTCAGGGCTGATTTCAGGAGAGTTTGGGTGTAGAAACCTTGGATGAGACCTGGGAACGGCCCAGTTAGAAGGGAGAAGGAGACCCTGCTGTTGTCTCCAGGGTCTGCAGGACCAACTGCAACCAGCTGCAGCCTGCAGCCTGCTCCTTCTAGCAGAGGACTGTCTGTTCTGAGGAAACTCCACGGAGCTGTCTCCAGTTCCCTCCCACACTCTCCCGGGACCTATATTGTCTGCTTACCTGCTGTTGGTGGCAAGGGCCCACGCCGCCGCCACCCCCGGCTTATCTAAAAGTCAGTTTGTAACTGTACCTGTGCTGACACCCTCACTCCCAACCAGTCCAGGTCCATGCTGCTTTGTGAACTCCAGCTGCACCCGGCAGCTATTGCTCACGCTGCAGGTTCCTGGAGCAAATGCTTTGCTTGGAGATATGGCTCCTCTATCAGGCTTTCGCCTTCTCAGTCAGCAGGTTGGTGTATTCTTCAGAACGAATCAATACACGAAGATGATTCTGACATCTCTGCACCCCATATCCTCGTTTGCATTCAGTGCGTACCTTGGCTGGTATCACCCTCATGACCCTTCACACGTTCTATCTCCCCATACAAGTACAAAGTGCAGATATTAGAGCTGCGGGACTAAACAGAAATAGATTGGGGGTAGTGGTGAGATGGCTCAAGGGTTAAGAGCACTCGCTTCTCTTGGAGAGGACCTGGGTTGGGTTCCCAGCACCCACATGGTGGCTTACCTTCATTCCCAGGTTCTAATGCCCTCTTTTGACTTCAACAAATGTAAACCACCACCATACCGAAACCTTAAGCAGTCAAACAGGAAAAACAGTTTATGAAAAAAAGAGAGGGGGGGAGAGGGTGAGCCAAGCCGTGATGGCATGTGTCTTTAATCCCAGCACTCGGGAGGTAGAGGCAAGTGGAGATTTTGTGAGTTTGAGGCCAGCCTGGTCTACAAGAGCTAGTTCCAGGACAGGTTCCAAAGCTACAGAGAAAGCCTGTCTTGAAAAAACAAAACAAAACAAAACAAACAAAAAAGAAAAAAGAAAGAAAAAAGGGGGGGGGGTGTTGTGGGACCTGCCTATCACCCCAGCCTTGGGAGGCTGAGGAGCCTATGGTTTTCGAATAACGACAGAAATACTTCCGGCACACATTCAAGCCCCTACTTCCAACTGGGACAGTTTGAGCAGACATTGGGCAAGAGTCAGAACCCTAGCTAAAAAATGGCTTCAGAAGCGCTGCGTGACCCCCACCTTGCCTTCAGACTTCTAGGGAAGGCAAAGGATTGTGGGATTGAAAAAAAAAAAAAAACGAAACACACTGCAACAGTGTTGCCATGGGCGGAAGACAGGAAATGAGAAAACCCAGCAAAGGGTACAAAGTTACTGTAGTTAGGTGGGACAAGTAAGTTTAGAGATCCAACCTACTAAATGAGGTGTATAATAAATAGCATAGTATTTATTAGAAATTTTCTAAAAATTAGAGTTTAGCTTCTTACTATACACAAACCACGTGCCAGATAATGGATTTATTGCAAATAATGATTCCTTTATTATATATTTGAATCACGGTGTACACTTTAAATGGATACTTTAAAAAAAAAAGAAGACACATACAAAATTGAAAACAAAATAAAGGAGGTAACTTCTTGTCTGTCCTCTTTCTCGCCTCAGGAGCCCACTGCTCTCCAGTATTGGCATGCAGCATCCTCCCTGCATTGGTAGCAGTGTGGCTTCCCTAGAGCCCTCTCCCAGCAAAGCAGCATGGGCTTGGGTAGGGGAGATCTCCAGTCAGGCAGAGAAAAAACTGTCGCTGGAGAACTAGAAGCACAGGCTGCACCCCCTCTGCTGGGACTGGGGGAATGCCATGATTCTACAGGATAGCTTCTAGAGGGCCCAAAGTTGGCCGGTTCCAGTTTAGCACTTCTGGATTTATGTTGTCCACCTGGGACAAGTACAGTCATTCCTGTATTCAGCTATAGCCATCTGTCATCTGAAGAAGGAAAAAAATACAACATCTCTCTCTTTTTTTAAAAAATACTTATTTGTATTTTAATATAGGCAGGTGTTTTGCCTGCATATATGACTGTTGACTGTGCATTGGTGTTAGAACCCCTGGAACAGGAGTTACAGACAGTTGTGAGCTGCCATGTGGGTGCTAGAAATTGAATCCAGGTCCTCAGGGAAGAGCAGCCAATGCTCTTAACTGCTGAGCCACCTCTCTAGCCCCTTCAACAATGTATCTGAGACTAAAAGCATAGTGATTTTCTGTTCAACTGTATTATTTTACTAGGAACCTAACAAGAATTGTCTTAGAGATGTTTTTTTCCTATATCTAATAAATTTGGAATTGACTGAAAAATAAAATAAAGAGGGTTCCTGTATTCTATAGTGATTGTGGGTACTACAGGGAGAGGATGCCGAAAGCCTCTTTCTGTGTTTGGAATGTCATCTCCTGCCCCTGCCAAATTGTGATGCTTTCAAACACATCCTCCTTCTCACAGCTTCTTGGTCGCCTGACTACTGACACTAGGGTTACTGAGGGTCCTCTATCAGCACTGGGCAGTGTCCTCAGAGACTGTGGAAGGGAGGCAGAAACAGGGCTCTGCCTTGAGGGGTTCTATGCTGGCCTCTGAACCCCAGTCTCATTCTCCTGTGAAACAGCCTTTCCTGCCTTCTGCAGCTGCTGCAGGAGAGGCTTCCCGAAGCCTGTGTGGTAGAAGGCTCCCTGATCCCTCCTCCTTCCCTTCCAGGTGTTTGTGGACACCAGAGGGCCAGAGAGTGGACAAGACCCCCACACAAAGTGGAACTGGAGACACTGCCCACTTGGACTATCATAAAAGAGCTTTTTACAATGCGTGGTAACGGGCTCAGGTGTGGGGGACTGCAGAGAGAGAGAGAGAGAGAGAGAGAGAGAGAGAGAGAGACACAGAAGGAGCACTTAGGGTCTAAAATGCTCCTCAAAAAAGTTCATGTGATGTAGCCTTGGTTTCCCTGGTCAGTGCTGTCAGGACAGTTTTGGAGAAACGATTGTATCATGGCAATACTGACTTCATCGGTGGATTAATGTATTGGTGAATTCATAACTTTTGGAGAGTGGTGGGAACTTTGGTAGAATGGGCTTAGTCGCAGGGAACCAGCTTTTGGAAACATGCCCTCGAAGACTGTATGTTTATTGACAGAGTCTTGCAGGGTAATCCAGGTTGGCCTCAAGCCTGTGATCCTTTTCCCTTAGCTTCCCAAACACTCGTATTACAAACATGGGATACCTCACATTACAATTTCATTATTTACTTAATTACTATTATTACTATTATTATTTTGACAGGGACTATGTAGCCTGGGTTAGCCTCGAACTTCAGCGATTTTGATATCCAACCCTTCAGAGTGCTGGGATTACGGATGTCTGCCTCCACACCTGCCTGGTGCTCCCAACAACATGGATTCGGACAGTCCCCGTGAGATAGGGGCCACTGTCCTCCCGAGAGAGAAGCACAATAGGTATCCAGTTCATACTAGGGAAAGAGCAGACACACACCTAGGCCTTCCCCGCATCGTCTACCTCATCAGCCATTGCTTTGAGGTCAGCTCTCATTTGTGGTCCTCTGGTGGCTCGGGTCTGGAGCATCCGAGCACACCTGGCTAGCGCGCGCGGCCCCGCCCCTTTCGGGCGGAGCCTGAGATCTCACCAATCAGCATCGCCGGGGGGAGGGCCGCGGGCGGCCAGCGGAGCCCGCAGTTCCCCAGGCCCGAGCGCTCGGAGACAGCGGCGTCGCGGCGCGGGGACGGAGCGGAGCGGAGCGCTCGGGCTCCACAGCCTCCCTCCCCTCCCCTCCCTTCGCTGTCCTCACCCTCTCAGCCGGACCGGAACTATGTGATCCCGGAAGTTCCGGGGCCATTGCTGTGTGGGATAAACAGTAATGGCGGAGGCTGCGGCTCCCGGAACAACAGCCACAACATCAGGAGCAGGAGCGGCGGCGGCGGCGGTGGCAGCGGCTTCCCTCACCCCTATCCCCACAGTCGCTGCCCTGTCCCCGGGGGCGGGCGGAGGGGGCGGCGGCAGCGACGGCAGCGGCGGCGGCTGGACGAAACAGGTCACCTGCAGGTAGGACGTTGCGTGGCGCGGCGGAGGGCGGGGGCTGCGGGGCCGAGCAGGAGGCGGAGGCGGGCGTCGCGGGGTCCCCTGCAGCGGCCGCCCGGCCGCAGAGCATCGCTGCGTCAACCCCCGCGGAGGTCGTCGGCGGGATCGCTGCGGGGCTCGGACTGCGGGCTCGGACTGCGGGGCGGTCCCGCCGCCACCCCTTCTCCAGCGGCGCTCCGGTGCGTGCGGTGAGGACCCGCGTCCCCCTCCCCGGGATGCGGCGCGAGCTCGCCGCTGCGAGTCGGGCTCCAACGATCCTCCGGGCGCCCTGAGCTCCTCCGAGGGTCCCGGCGAGCTCGGCCGGCCCCGGGGCCTCCGCGCCCGGCCATCCGTTTGTAACGTCTTTTCTGCTCTCGGCGCCGCGCACCCCCGCCCCGCCGGGAGCAGCCGCTTTTGTATTCCTTTGTATGTAGTCGGTGGCTGGCGGTTCCGAGCTTTGTCTCCGAACCGAGTGTTCGGAGCCGGCGTTAGCCTCCTCAACCCTTGATTTTATAAACTGCCATTATTGTTACTGTCCCTTTGAGAGGCGATCCTCTTTGCGAGAAAAGAGATCCTAGGAGAGAGGGTTGGTTCTGGTTTGGTAAGCGAAACGAAATTATTCGAAAAATGAATGATCAGGTGGCGGCTATACAGCACGCATGAAAATTTTTTTCCCTGCTATAAATTTTGAAGGGTATTTGTTGTATTAATGGTTTGTGGGAAGGTGTTTATTGAGACAGACACCCTTGCTGTGTTGCCCAGGTTGACCTATATATAGTCCTGACTGCCCTAGAATTTTCGGCAAGCCTTTTTCTTTAGTGCGGGGATTGCAGGCGTATGATACCACACCCGACTATACTGATTTAACCATCAAGAGAGACTGTTAAGCTTTTCTATCGGTTAAAGAAAATCCAAAGGAAAAACCACTTTTTGTCCGACAAGGACATTTTATAGGCAAATGCAAAAGGCTGTTTGATCCTACCGAAGAACTCGTGGTTGGCATTAACAACGAAACTGAAGAATTTCTATCCTCAGGTCTTTTGGCCTTTTTTCTTTTTTGAGGCAAGTTCCAGCTTTGCAGCCCCGGTTGTACTAGAACGGCACTGTAGATCAGGCTGGCCTCGAACTTCATCTTCCAGCCTCTACCTTCCCAGTGCTGAAATAGCAAGTGTTAATTAACACCCGGGCTTCAATGAAATTTTAAGTACCTTGACTTTTTTTTTTCTCATCTACTATCTTCATCTAGTCTAGTTCTGAATACCCATTGCCAAATAACATTTCATTATCGATTTCTTTATCATTCTGTCAGATGCCTGCTTCTATGCAAAGTTTTGTTTCAACATTTTCCTTTCTTAAGTAATCGGTAGGGAGTGTATGATAATCTGTGGGATTCTGTCCCCGGGCCACAGAGCACCTGTGGAGGTCAGAGGGGACAATTTTAATCTCTTTCACTTTCGTGTGGGTTCCAGGAATCAAACTCAGCCATCCTTTTTTATCAGCAAGGACATCTTGCCACAGTTGCTTTTTTATTCTTTTGGGGAACGTACGGGGTGTGTGATGTAGAAGCTTCTGTGGCCCAGAATGACTTGGGACTCCTTGATCCTTCTGCAGCTCTCTCCAAGGCTGAGATTGGTTATAAGCTTGTCTTCTCCCCTGCTTTCCTTTTACTTTTCCTTATTTCTTCTTTTCTTTTTTTTTATTTTATTTTATTTTTATTTATTTATTTATTTTTTTAAATATTTATTTATTATTTATTATGTATACAATAGTCTATCTGTGTGTATGCCGAAGGCCAGAAGAGGGCACCAGACCTTATTACAGATGGTTGTGAGCCACCATGTGGTTGCTGGGAATTGAACTCAGGACCTTTGGAAGAGCAGGCAATGCTCTTAACCACTGAGCCATCTCTCCAGCCCCCTATTTCTTCTTTTCTAGTTCCTTACCAGACGTCTTTTAGAGCCTACATTTAGGGTCTTCTAAAATTTGATTTTTTTATTTTTTGAGACAGGGTTTCTGTGTAACCTGGCCGCCATGGAACATACTGTGTAGACCAGGCTGACTTTAACACAGAGACATAGAGTTTTTTTGTTTTTTCGGTTTTTCAAGGTAGCGTTTCTCTGTAGCTTTGGAGCCTTTCTTGGAACTAGCTCTTGTAGACCAGGCTGTCCTCCTCGAACTCACAAAAGATCCTCCCCCCCCCACCTCTACCTCTGCCTCTGCCTCCTGAGTGTTGGGATTGAAGGTGTGCGCCACCACCAGGATAACAGATTCTAACTGCCTCTGCCTCCCTGGTGCTGAGATTAAAGGCCTACACCAACCAGTCCAGTTTAGGGTCTTACTTAGCACAGGGTGACCTTGAACGCCCTGTGCTGCCAGAAATTACCTTGACACATTTGTTTTGAGGTAGGGCTTCTCTGTCTAACCCTGGCTGTCTTGGAATCAGGCTGGCTTCAAACTCAGATCCCTGCCCGCCATTGCCTCTGGAGTACTGGGTTTCTCTGTGGCTTTGGAGCCTGTCCTGGAACTAGCTCTTGTAGACCAGGCTGGCCTCGAACTCACTGAGATCTGCCTGCCTCGGCCTCCAAAGTGCTGGGATTAAAGAATGACCTTGATTTTAAGTGCTGAATTATAAGCTTGGGCCAAGCCCAGCTCCATAAGGCTCATTGAATTAATGGAGTTTTCTAGGTGTTTTGGAACAATTGTTTGTGAACGCTTCTTTTATGTCTAAAAAGAAATTTTCTTTGGAGGTTGGAGAGATGACTCAGAGCTTCTTTCCCTAGTCTTGCATACAGATGCACAAAACTTTTGAGTATCCTGACTTGGGGAGAGTAAGACAGAAGAATCTTGAATTCTAGACTAGCCTAGGAAATATGGCAATTCATGTGCCTGCCCTAGGGTACATAGGACAGCTCAGTCTCAAAAAATTATAGGTGTTTTTGTTTTTCCAAGATGGTTTCTCTGTATTTCTGGCTGTCCTGGAACTCCCAGCTGAGGTAAATTTTACAAAAACAGTCTGAACACTTAAAAAGGATGCAGGCTTAGGATCAGCAAGATGGCTTAGTTTAGGTAAATTAGAAAATGAAACAAACAAGATACAAACTTAGAGTTTCACATGGTGGCCACACCTATAGTAATAAATAGTGTTTGGAAAGTGCAGGTAAAACCAGGAAGTCGGGTCTCACAACGCAGCACTTGGCCTTGAACTCCGAGATTCTCCTGCTAAGTCTTCGGACTAGTGTCAAAGTGCTTAGCCCTAGTCATCTATAAAATTGTAGAGCCCCGCTGAGCGGTGGTGGCGCACGCCTTTAATCCCAGCACTCGGGAGGCAGAGGCCTGCGGATCTCTGTGAGTTCGAGACCAGCCTGGTCTACAAGAGCTAGTTCCAGGACAGGCTCCAAAGCCACAGAGAAACCCTGTCTCGAAAAACAAACAAAAAAAATTGTAGAACCCCTTATGGTGGCACGTAGAGCCCTTGATAGTTGCATCTCTTCTCCAGCTAGTTGGTAGTTGGAGGCAGGATGATGTCTTGACCACACCAGCCTCATTAGAAACCAAAGGTTATTTGATAAATACTTTAGGTGTAAATGCTTGACATTGTTTTCTGTTCTAGCTGCCAACAACATGATCTCTTAAAGTTTTCTTTGAACAGGAATAACAACTATGAAATCTTTGTTCTAGACTTTGAGCTTTGAGAGAAGCAGAGTTCTGTTATACCTGCAGGACTCTTCCTCAGTGCCCCGCATAACTAGTAAATGCTCCAGTTGATGTTGATACAACTCTTTTATAGGACTTTAAGAATTTTCTGCCCTCGTTTAAAATGCACTGGGGCTAGAGAGATGGTGCTGCCCGACCAGAGGATCCAGGTTTGATTTCCAGCACCCACAGGTGGCTAACAACTGACCATAGCTCCAGTTTCAGAGAATCTTTTGGCCTCCCTTGGTACTGCTAGCATACAATGCAGATACAGATATACATGCAGGCAAAACACCCACACACAAAATAAAAATAAAATCTTAAAATTGTAGAAATTGTTTACATACACATGTTCATGCATCCATTCTGAATTTTTTAAAGTATACTTGTAAGTTACTAAAGGGAGAGAGGACCTATTAGATAGAATGTTTTTCTTTCTGGGACTACCTTATTCAGACTTTCAGCAAATGGACTTCAGTGTGCACTGTGAGTTCACTGCAGACGTGTTCCTTATAATATTTTTCAGAGTACTTGGTAGCTACACATGCTCCTGAGAGAAGGCGCAGCCCGGAGGTACTAGTGCCCTGAGGTTTCAGGTTCCCCTTGCACTGGATTACCGGCCCTTAGGAGTTAGTTGCCTTGGGTGGGTGCTAGCAACCCAACTGCCTTTGTGCTCCTACCTGCTGAGCTGGCTCTGCACCACCCCTCAAGGGTATTTTCTTTCTTTTTATATACAGTGTTCTGTCTGTGTGTATGTCTGCAGACCAGAAGAGGGCATCAGGCCCCATTACAGATGGTTATGAGCCACCATATGGTTGCTGGGAATTGAACTCAGAACCTTTGAAGAACAGGCAATGCTCTTAACCTCTGAGCCGGCTCTCCAGCCCCTCAAGGGTGTTTTCTTTTTTTTTTTTTTTTTTTTTTTGGTTTTTCGAGACAGGGTTTCTCTGTGGTTTTGGAGCCTGTCCTGGAACTAGCTCTTGTAGACCAGGCTGGTCTCGAACTCACAGAGATCCGCCTGCCTCTGCCTCCCGAGTGCTGGGATTAAAGGCGTGCGCCACCACCGCCCGGCCCCCTCAAGGGTGTTTTCTAAGCCTCGGGCATATCCCTCTTTAAAGTTACTTGCTTAGATAATAATGTTGTTGTTTTTCTAAGATTTATTTTATAGTTGATATTTTATTTTAGTAAATAAAGCTTGCCTAAAGATCAGAAGGGCAGAACTAAGCCATTAGAGGTCAGGCAGTGGTGGCCTACACCTTTAATCCCAGGATTTGGGAGACAAAGCAGATCTG